AAGGGTGGTGAAACCCTCAAACAGGTTGCCTAGTCAGATGGTGGAGGCCCCATCCCTGGAGACATTCAAGTTCAGGCTTGATGGGGCTCTGAGCAACCTGATCTAGTTAAAGATGTCCCTGCTTACTGCAGGGGGAGGTAGACTAGATGACCTTTAAAGGTCCCTTCCAACCCGACCCATTCTACAATTCTGTGATTCTTTTTCTCCTTTCCAGAATTTCTGTTGAAATGTCTAGATTAGTCTAGAAATTTGAGGCATTGGTGTAGTTTTGATGTGCTCAGATATAATTATTAGTTATTTTTCAAGTGCCTTGATATTTTGCAGCATTTAGAAACCACCTGCTTACAGGCTGTTTGGTAAAATGTGAGCACAAGATGTTTCAGACAACACTTTATTGCTCCACAGAGCAGATGTTACTTTGCTCAGGACCTGCCAAATAAGTTTTGATTCCAAACTATAAAGCTTCTCTTTTCTCCCCTCTGTGTGTATATGTACATGGCAGGCCTGTTTGCCTCATTGGATTAGTCCCTTTCGATCCTTGTCTGCCCAAGATGCTGCTTTGTAACAGTGTTCAAAAGAATGCAGTAATGTAGTGATGGTACTAGTATGAACTGGATTTGATGCTGTCTTTAGCACGCTTGTTTCTGGATGAATGTGTCTCAGAGGGTTCCTGGTTAAGTAAAAGTAGATGATTAAAGTAGTAGTTCTTTTGCTTTTTTACTTGTTCGAACGTGATGGTAGAAGGGACTTTACTGCTGGTATTTTCTTCGCTTGTGGTTATGTAGTTTAAATGGAGCTTTGATTGTTGCTGGGGTAACCTTTCCTATGCTTACATTGGTGGACAAAGCCTTAAGTCAGTTTATTGCTCTGGCATGTCTGTGCCTGCTGTTTTCTATGGAAGGGTCAGGTTTTTGCATCCGTAGGATCATTTTCTGTAGTTTTCCCATTGCCTCATGCTGTGCACTGCAGGCTGTGCTCCAGTGTTCACCAAGTAAACTATGCCACAAATTACAGGAAGAAATGTTTTGCAGCTACAGTGGAAGCTTACTGACTCTTCTATTGCCATTACATGTGTTTTAAAATAAAATTGCTCTATTAGGGGAAGGGACATGGCTTGTTCTGCCCCGAGGACAGAGTTAACAGGTTCGAAAGGGGAGCCTACAGAGGCATAGCTTAGGTCTTGAATTTGAGTATGTTGAAAGTAGGATTATGGATGTTGGAGCAAGTGTTGTGGTTGTGTTTTGTTCAGAGTTTGTATGAATTTGTGCATGAAACTGGGAGATGACATGGGAGGGTTGATCAACCTCTCACTGTCATTGGGGACATAGGAGCAAGTTCTTCCAATGTTTGAGATTAATCATGGGTTGCAGATGTGTTCATGCAAATTATGTCTGGTGCCATAGTGGCTGAGAAATTCCTGAAATCAGAAATTAAAGGGGAAAAAAAAGCCATCCCAAAATTTTAAATCTGCAGATCAGTTTTCTAGTGCTTCCCATGTTCCCAACCACCATCTTCTGTCTTTGTTTTCCCCTAATAATTGCTTATAAAGCAGAAGGGTTGAAATATGATGTTGTGCTTTTAGCTTGTAACTGGTTTCTTTCTTTCCCCAAATTACAATAGGAGCGTGGAAAAGCTCAATAGAAGAATGGACAGCAGAAGACTGGAATGAAGACGTAAGTATACCTTGTTGGATAGACTGGTTATTTACCCTTTTCAGAGTTTTGTGTTGTCTTTAAAAACTAAATGTTTGAAGTAATACTTTCCTGTATGCATGCAATGATATTTCTTACTGTGTTTCTTGCTCTAATTCATGTTTAAAATATATATATTTAGATAAACTTATTTTTAAAAATAATTAATTAAGAAATATTAATTTATTTTGCTGGGTGGACATAAATAATAAATTTTTAAGTTTTATCCCAAATTAAGTATTTGTGAATTATAGTTCTTCACTGCTCAATGTTGATGGGTGTTAACCGCATACTTTCACCTACTGTTGTTGTGTAGGGATTTAAAGCCATGTTATCACAATACTTTTATGTAATTAAGTGCTGAAGCTTACTATCAACTTTAGGCTCCTCATTTGATGCTTTTTGTTTGAAATCTGCATATTTGTTCCACTTAGTCTACTTCATGTTCATAATATTAAAAAAGGGCTAATAGTATGCTGAAGTTAGCACTTAATTGCCTCATTTCTGGTTTTCATCATGATGTGTTGTCTAAAGTACTACAACAGTTTTGTTTCTCATTCTTTGTCAGGCAAGAGATGTCTTCATGTCTACAAAATATTTGGCATCTGTAATCATCGTGTGAAAATTGCATTTGTGATTTTAAGTTTTCAGTCAGCTTAAGCAGTTCCGAAAATAAACTAGGTAGCAAGAAATATGGAAAGGAAAACTTAGCTTTTAAGAAGTTTTTAATCTTTTATAGGAACATCCATTATCTCAAGTTTGTTTTCAGAAGAGTAAGGATTGTCTCAGAAGTAATCTGTTTTGGCTCCTCTTGTAGGGTGGCATGTCAGTGTTATCCCTAGAAATGTGTGAATGTGTCATATAACAGATATGAAAAATCTGTCCTTACCTAATGAGAGGGCTGTGTCTTTCAAGAAAATAAAAAGAAACTCTAGAATTCCTAGGGTTTTTTTGTATCAGTTACTGCCATCAGAAGCTGACATCTTTTTAAAACCTGTCCTCTATTTCTGCAGCATGTTAGAGATGGACTAAGGGCTAGGGATAGTGAAAATTTCTGGCCTTGTTTCTCATTGCTGTTTGATGCTGGTACAATACTCCTGTAGTACAGGAGGGGTGTTGAACAATGATGACTAGGGATATATTTTTTTTTTTAATTAAAGCTGAGTTTTCATTGCACATGAATCTTGAAAGAGCAACAGATTAAATCTCTAGCCTGTTGTTAATTTTTATTATTTTTAGAGTGCTGGAAAAATCTCTGTAACCTAGAAAAAGTTGTTCATGTGCTGATGTTCAGAAAGTGAATAAAATGATGAGTTGCAGATAAATTAGTACAAAACATCCCCAGGGAAAACAATAAAGGAAAAATTGATTCATTTGATTAAAAAATAAATAAATAATAGAAGTGTAACAATACAGCTTGTGCCATTCAGTGTAGTTTTATGGGAAATGGGTCCACTTCAAATAAACCGGATCTTGGTATTTAAGTAAATTACAAGTTAACTGTGAAGATAGAGTATGTCCTCATAAGAGGTTTGATCTACATTTTTTTTGTTCTAAGAATAATTCTATGCTATCACAAAACACATTAAGTGGATTAAAATCTGCCTTGCAAATTTTGGCCAATATATCTTTTGCAGGAGGACCCTTATTGAATGTGGGCATTTCTAGGACGTCTATAAAGGAATCCAGTACCGGGCCAGATGCCATCTTGTGTCTTTATCAATGATCTGGAAGTAAAAATAAAATCACTGCTGAATAAAATATGTGAGAAATAAAAAAATTATTGGAATGGCAATTAAAAGTAAGCCTGTCATGCAGAGAAATTGGGACCTCTGCTAGACTTAGCCTGTTCAAATGACAAATGCTTTAATATAGCCAAGTGCCCATTTGTTTTATAGGAATAAAGGCACATCTCTAGAACAAGGAGCTGTTTTCTGGAAAGCAGCAATTGAAAAACTTTCAGGATTGTAGACTCTTTCCTGTCTCTTAATCATTCTTGATATATATTTCTGTATGTGGACTCTCCTGAACTTGATTCTAAATCCAATTATTCATTGCTTTTACAAAACAAAAGGTGTGGAAAATAGATGAAAATTATTTTCTGATAGAATTGGTGCTCGAGAGTGAGATTTTTAGTTTACTGAATCTGAAAAGGTTACTTTATTAGCATATAATGGGCTCTGATTTTAGTCATTTTTTTTTAGCAGAAAAAGGCATAATATGAACCTGTGGCTGGAAAATTGAGCTGTGTATTTAAATGGTATAATAAACAATTCTAGCAGCATGACTAATGATTGAAACAGCCAAGGAAGCTGATGTATTTGCTGTCTGCAGATAAAGACCAGGTGTTTTTCTGAAGAATGTTTTTGTTTAAATGTGGTGGTCTCTATTTAGATACAAGTTAGGAGCAGGTGAGTGAAATTTTAATGTTGTTTGACCTGAGAAGGATTAGATTTTTGTGATCTAATAGTCCTGTCTGGTATTTATCTTTAGTAGTAAGTATTGAGCAAGTATAGTAGGTTGTCAGCATGCTCTTAAAATGAGTGGAAATTTCTTGCAGTGAAAATATTGTTAAAGCAATATTCAGGGCATGGACAATGAAGGACCCAGACAAATACTGAGGTACTGTAGATGGTGCTGGGTTTTCTTCTTAAAATTGTGTCATATTCTCCTGGCTAAAGAAAGTTTAATTACGGAAACTATCAGAAGAGGAGAAATAGGATACATACAAATTGCTGGAAAGTGGATGAAAGCAAACATTTTCTGTACAATATTGGTAGTCTTAGTTTTTATTTGAAACAGCAGCAACACTTAAAAAAGAAAAATGTATTTTAGTGGCAATGGTTCCTTTACCAAGAAGCAGCATGAGAACTTGTTTTCATTTCTTTAACTTCAATATATCATATCAAAACAGTAATAAGGTTTTGTCATTTCCGATTTGTTGATGTTGAGTTTTTATGAGAATGCTGGAATATATTTTGCTGTTCTCCTCACCTATCAACTGGGCATAGGAGCTGGTAGCTAGTAGCTAGTTGTTGTCTGTTTGGTGATTGGAGAATGATTTTTATCATAGGAACAGGAGCTGAAAAGCATAGGCATTTCGCTGCAGATGGAGGAAATACCCTTGTGAGGCCAATGCTTGCAAATGGTTCATGACCATTCATTCAGTTCTGGGAAAATGCTGGAGTCCCAAGTGTAGTGTATGGTGAGTGTAAATAACTTTGTTAGGAGCTGATAATACTACCACTAAGAAATACTGAATACATCTGCATAATAAAACTTTTCAGCTGTTGCTACACGAAGTATGTGTTTTCACAAATGCCATAATCCCAGCAGATTTCTGAATTAGGTGCTTGATTGGAGCTTGTGGTAGTGAGTTGCCACAGGGTGTAGCATAAACTTCAGTGTTGCTGAGCTGGTAGATGGAAACTTGTTTTGCATACTGGCTTTCTTGGAGAACATTTCTTCACACATCAAGTATACTTTTGTATTGTCACAAACATCCTCAGGCTCCTCAATTTGCTTAGTTATCAGGATTCATCAGTGTTTTGGCCACGGTTATTCTTATCTTGGGTTATGTGAGCATAAGAAACTGTTGACATTACAAAGAACTTAGTATTTAATGAGGGATTGCAAACCATAGGCTGCTGCTCGTGCCATTAGCTGACCTCCTTGTGCCATATGATGCAGGAGTCTCATAATACTACAAAAAGTACAGTGCACATAGTTCTAAAATAACACAGTGGGGAAAGGGCCAAACAGTAGAGAAACAGCTTGTTGAATTGCAAATATGCTTGAGCTGAATCTTCTTTCTTCATTTTGGTCAGTACAGGGAGTTGTGGGCCGGTAGCATTACGCATAGGAGAGTTGTGTTCCAGAAAGATGGGATTCAAATACGTTGTATTGGCAACAAGGGAGGGGAAGGAAAGGAAATGGAAGGAACAATTGTGATGGTATTAATTTTTTCATGATGTATTGTGTTGCACATAAATGGGTGCTAAGAGAGTACATGAGACATTTGAACTTTGCCTCTGAGTAGTAAATGATTTGGTCCCAGTCAGCCCTTCTATGTCCTGCTTAAATCAACAGTGTTACATAGGAGAATCCCGATCAGATGATCCCATTCAGGGATATACATGCTTTCAGTAGAGATGCCTGTGGGATGGCAGATGAAATTGGCTCATGTTTGTGATGTCCTTTAAACTGGGCTGCTAGCAATGTATGCAATTAAAAATGCATAATTTCTTGAAAGAGCTATATTCAAATGTCATATTCTAAAAAGATTCTTTGTGAATGTTTGAATAGGTCAGTTATTCTTTAGTCTAAATACAAAACTACACCAAAGTAGTTAAGGGTGATTTTGTGCAAGTTTAATTTAAAATATAACCATTATACGTGCATATCTCTGTCTTGTTAAACCTAACCTGTACTGGCTTAAGACCTATTCCAGTTTGCAAGTATTCCTGGCAATAGAAATTAATTAGCCTTAGGAAATTCTAGCTGTTTAACTACTATTTTTTAAAAAAAGAAAAGCTTTAAAACAAAACCAAGCAGCAAACAAACCACCCCCCTGCAAACCAAAATCACCCCCTTTCCCCCCAAAACCCCAACAAACCAGCTCCCCCTCTCCAGCTACCTGTGCAAGTATCGATCTTTATTGTAACAGCATGGTGAAAGCAGTACAGTTTTCTGCTGTGGATGGTCTGACTAGTTATACTAGTATAAGCAATTATATGGTTCTTCCTTTCTTATTGTTTTCAATCTCATGCTTGCAATCAGTTTAAGATGTTATTGCTGCTCCTAGCAGAAATGCCAAGAAGAAACCACAAATGCTAGTTACTGTACATACCTGACAGCAATCCTGCCTCCACTGGTGGTGTGAGCTGAAATGTAAAATACATGAAATGAGTGAGTGGGAATGGTGCAATAAGATTTATTAGAGCTGCTCTATGGAGTCCTAAATTATGTCTGCACAAGGTATCTTTACACTGATGATATACCAGCTGTCACATGAATTACTTTCTACTGGTATATTTTTCAGTTAAAATGTTGCCCAAATGGATGTAGTTAAATTGGTATACCATTGTGTGTGTTCAGTAGATCAAATTTCCTAACACTTTAATTAAATTTGTATTTGATTCTCTGGAGAAGACTGCTGAAATTTGACTACATGTTTTTGTCTTTTTAAGCAGAGCTGCAGCATAACTGGTTGTAATGATAGTTTGACTTTACTTTTATCTGAATGTACATGATCAGGTTGGAATTTCTACAGATGTTACAACACTGAAGCGTGAGCATGTGTATGATTAAAATACCTTCCCCTCTCCCCCCCTTTTTTTCAGCTTTCTGAAACAAAAGTCTTTACTGCTTCCTCTGTTCCAGCTGAGAATCATGTGACTCCTGGGCAAAGGTAAGTTCTTCTTCCATGGTTTCCCTATACCTTAAAAACCTTCTGCTTGGTAAAGCAATGTTAGCTTGCACATATAAAATGTTGACTAAAACACAGGGCAGCCCTAGTCAGAGATTGGTCAAGCTAATTTCAAAATTACGAAAGCCTTGTGTTGTGGTCGGGACGGACAAAGCGACAAGACAACAAGTGTTGGCGTAGCACAAAAAGCCTTTATTGTTTTTCTTCCTCATCTATTTATACTCTCTTTCCCCTTAGTTTCCCCAGATGTGTTGTCTTCTCATTGGTTCAAGGTTATTATGTTTCTTTTTTATTGGATAATATCTTCACAGTTCATCACAACTCAGCACTTCTGCCAAAGGAACACATACACCTCAGTCTGCTGTCAGCACTTTCGACAAACTTGTTTACCTTGCGGCTCTTCTTGTTCCTGTTTATTCTCTCAAGGGTAGACTGGAATCTTCTCAAGGTCAAATGTCACTCTGTCCAAGGGCCTCAGTCCAGCTGAGGTCCCCCACAGCCTTGCTTGCAAATCATTGGTTTTGTGGGTTCCTGTGTTACCTATTATTGACTACGGAAGTGGAGCCAAACTTACCAAATCCACGAGCATAATATTGAGAAGACCTTGTCTCCTGCACAAAGACCACTTACAGACAGGAACAAAAGTAGCTGGGAAGAAAAGTTTGCTACTGTTGAAAAGGAAGCACTGGCTTTGCTGTCCAGAAAATGGAAAGCCTGCCTCTGTAGATGCAGAAAATGTTCAGAACATAGTGTTTTGACAAATTTGTTAACAGAAAAGCTTGCCTTGGCAAGAAGGTGAATTTCCTGGTAAGCATCATAATTGCCTAACTGATGATATAGAGTTCAGATAGAGAACCAAAAATATGGCAGTTGCTGCCTTCCTTTACTTGCCTTTGTCTTCACCAAGTCCTTGGCTGAATCAGTTGCCTGCGTTAGCCTCAGGTCTCAGGGAGAGCAGGATAAAGTTGCATGATGAAGACTTTGGTAGATAGATAGCATGAGATCTGAAAACTAGATGGCCTAATGGTCCCCAAAATGCTGATATAGCTGTACTGCTGTAGTCCAGACTGCAGCAAAATTTTCCTTATAACATGGATGTGACCTGGAGGAGGCATGGTGTCAGTTGGTCTGCAGTTTATATTCCATTTCTTTCCTCCTTTGAAGGTGATATGCTCACATGTTCATTGTTCTAATGCAAATATTCTTGCAGTGAATGTCCCTCAAAATTATGTTAGAAAATTTTACTTTCTGGCAAAAACCTCTGTTCTACCTCTTTTTGTATGGCAGACAAGCAATATTTGAAAATACTGTTAATAATTCTGTTGCTGGTATGGCAGCTTTTAGATATTGTTAGTGCTTTCTTCAGTTTCAGTGCAGTCTAATCATCATGTTTATTCTAGCCAAACTTTGCTTTTTCTTACAGCATAGATTTGGTAACACTGCTTCAAAAGCCTGTGACTTCTACCCAAGAAACAGAAGGCAACTCATTTGAGACTCCTCAGCAACAGGCCTTTGGCCAAGCCCTAGTCTTCACAAATTCTCAGCACAGCACCCAGATGGCATCAGGAACTGGCAACTCCAGTGCTGTAAACTCTTATTCTCCTCAAAGTCTGGTAAAACTATCTTATGCATTCTAAATATTCTTCATGAGTAAATATTTCAGGTTAAACAACTTTTCCAGTACTGGTCATTTCATAAGATGTTTGAGTATTTGTAAAATTCAGGTTGCAAATGTTGAAGGAATGGAATTAAGAATTCCGTTCCTTCCATTTACACATACAAAAAAGGATTACTTTTTTTCCTGATTTTGTTAATTAGTTGTTTCTCAGATTACATTAAGTTCTTGCATTAGTTTTTTAGTAAAGAGCAGATGTTTAATGCTTGCTGATTTAGGATGAAATAACTTGTTTGTAATGAAGAGTTCTATGCCAAAAAACTATGATGTGTTATTTCCAAGCATGTATCTGACTGCTTTTTGTGGAAACCTGATTATTTCTGAGTCAATTGTAAGGACTTGAAATTGGACACTTGAACTGATTTTCAGAGAATAAATACAATTATTACTAAATAAATGCTATTTTGAGATGCATGGATTCAAGTAAATCAGTATTGGTTGCAACCAGTGATGAACATTGTATCAGTGATAACCAGAGAGGATCTGGCCATATGCTATAACCGTTGAATTTGTAGTTGGTCATTTATTAGTAATCTAGGACTGAAGAGGTGTTGGTTGCTGCCAAAGAGCAGCTGTATCCATTGACCCTATGGTTATGTTAAAATTATTTATTAAATACCTAACCCCACCCCTTCCCCCCTTTTTTTTTTTTTTCCTTTTCCTTTTGGTAGTCTGCAGTTCTTTGTTCTGGCTTTAGAGAACTTGGATCCTCTAAATTAGCAAACTCTACTGGATCCCAAATTTTGAACCAATTGAAATCTCCAAGTTTGGGTCAGTTTACCTCTCAACAAAACAGTAGTAGCTCTACCACCACTACCACAACTACCACACCATCCTGGGATCTAAAACCACCCATTACTCAGTCCTCAGTCCTTAGTCAGTTTGGTAAGTACTTTGACATAGCTTTCTCTCTCTTTCTCTCTCTGTTACCCTGTAAGATTTCTTAACACCACTGACAGTTTAAAATGGCCTTAAATTGAAGAGCTTTTTCTAAAAAATGTAATCTTAATAATATAATTGGTTACAACATTGCAAGTGTTATACTTACTTGCTGGTAATAGACATTACGAGTATATCACAAACTAAGTTTTGATAGGCTTAAGCCTATCCATAAATGTCATTGCATCTTTAGAAGCTGTTGAGCCTTCATGTAATGACATATTTGATTTAATGTGCTTGAATATTTAAGTGAACTTTGATGTGATTGTTTCTCAACAAATCCTGGAAAAATACTTCTCTTCATTGTGTCTATGCTGCTTCTAGCTGAGTATAAGGTTTTACCATATTCTGTCTTTTTCCTCCACATTTTTTTCTCTTCTAACCATTACATGAATTTTGAATGAGTTCTGTATAATTTCTTCATAATTTGCATCACATCTCAGTGTTTTTTCCCTAGTGTGAAGTCTACGTATGCTGAGAATGAGTTACCCACTTTGTCTATTCATAATTGTATGGATTTTTCATTTAATAGAGTAAAACTAGTAGAAATGGTGAAAACGACACAAACTTGGTTTTTGCAGTGAAGTTCCTAGCAGTATTCTCACTGTGAAGAGTGATAGTTCTTGTATCTATTTTGTGTATATGTTTCCAGAAAGATAAGCAGCCAATTTGGTAGCAGATATAATATTTTACACACAGCATTTCTGAAAAAATGTTAATGTACATTTTGAGTTGCTTTCTAATGCACTTTACCAACTGAATTAAAAAAAAAACCTTCACATTGCAAATGCTGTGGATCTCTTATGGTGCTTTACCAGTGCTGTGATTCACTGCCTGGCTCTTAGCATCTGAAAAATATTAAAGGAGAAGACTTAGAAAAAAAAATGGCAGTGTCCAGCGTCTCTTGACTTTCAGCCAGATTGAGATGGTAGATGACTTCCTATTTGTATTGAAAAATCTCCTTTGTACGGGCAGGAAATCCTAACTCATAATACCTCTTAATTACAACTCCAGGTCCCTTGGTATTAATCACAATTTATTGTCACAGTTAATTGCTGTGAAACTTGCAGTGTTTGATTAAAATAATCCGTAACAGTTTTTGAGGCCTAATGTGTGATAATATTATGTGATAGTTTTGTTTTCATATTTTTGAAGAAAGCTAAATAATGCTTGCTCACAACTGATTTTTAAAGTAGAGAATATAAAATGTTGGCCTTATTGCAGTGGTAATGTTCAATGGGAAACTCGTGTGATGTCTGAGACTTGCACATGCTATAAAGTCATAGCTATCGAGTGTATCAAGTTACCCAAATTCTTTCATAAAGAGTAGAAGCATAAAGAGCAGAGTTTATTGCTTAAATTTTGATATTTCTTTTTCCCAACACGGACCAGACTTTAAATCCCAGCCTGAACCATCCCCAGTTCTGAGCCAGCTGACCCAGCGACAGCAGCAACAAATGCAGGCAGTCACTGTTAATCCTCCTGGGCTGGAGTCCTTCTCCTCCCAGGTAAAACTTCACGAGCCATCGCCAGTAGACACCTCTACAGCTGTTAGCAAAATGTTACAGCTCCCCACTATATCTATGGATAACCAGACAGTGACTGCCCATCAAACCCAGCAGAAACAGATAAAACCACCAAAACGGAGGATAACTCCAGCATCCAAGGTGTGTAATTGAGTGGTGGTAAATCCAAGGTGGTAAATTGAGTAAACATATAAACATAAAAAAGCTTGTATCAGAAATAGCGTGGCCAGCAGGAGTAGGGAAGTGATCGTGCCCCTGTACATGGCACTGGTGAGACTGCACCTTGAATACTGTGTTCAGTTTTGGGCCCCTCACTACAATAAAGACAGGGAGGGGCTGGAGCGTGTTCATTCAAAGGAGAGCAACAAAGCTGGTGAAGGGTTTAGAGCACAAGTCTTATGAGGAGCGGCTGAGGGAACTGGGGTTGTTTAGTTTGGAGAAGAGGAGGCTGAGGGGACATCTTATGACTGTCTAAAACTCCCTGAAAGGAGGGGGTAGCGAGGTGGGTGTTGGGTCTCTTCTCCCAAGTAACAGGCAATAGAACGAGAGGAAATGGCCTCAAGTTGCACCAGAGGAGGAATTAGATTGGATATTAGGAAAAATTTCTTTACCAAAAGGCTTGTCAAACATTGGAACAGGCTGCCCAGGGAGGTGGTAGAGTCACCATCCCTGGAGGTGTTTAAAAGATGTGTATATCTGGCACTTCAGGACATGGTTTAGTGGTGGACCTGGCAGTGTTAGGTTGATGGTTGGACTCAATGATCTTAATGATTCTATGATTCTATTCTTTTTATAAGTTGCTGGGGAGAAGGAGAGCAATAACCATGGTCTATTTATAGAGTTTATAGAGTAGGAAATTCTAAGCTGGATAGTTCTTAGGTCCAAAATACAGTGATAATGTCTTTTCCAAACATATATCTGATAGCTCTGTGTGGAAAATGACTGTTACTGCATGATTTTTGGATTGACTTAGTAGCTGCAAGATGAATGTTATGGCGCATTTTTCCCCCCCTCCTTTAAGATTCCTGCTTCTGCAGTGGAGATGCCTGGATCAGCAGAAGTGACGGGGTTAAATGTTCAGTTTGGAGCTCTGGAGTTTGGATCAGAGACTGCACTCCCAGAGTTTGGATCAACTTCAAGCAGTGAGAATACCAGCCAGGCGACTATCAATAGCTTGTACTCAAAATCTGTAAAGTATGTGAACCCTTGTGCATTCTTACATGTCATCTTTAAGGGGTCAAGTTTGTGCCAAAAACATCAAGGCACAGTTATCATGTAATAGGAGGGGGAAATATGATGACTTGTACGGCTAAGTGTTTTCTGTGGATGGCATCTTAAAGGAGAAATGTATTTTCTTATGACAATCAAAATCTCCCTGGATGGGTTGATGTGAAGCTGGAGATGACATGAATGTAACCTTATAATAAGCTACCCTTTATAGAATTGCTTTCTCATGTTTAACTGTTTCGATTTTCAAATTTGAGGGTTTATTCCTCACAACCCGAATTTTTCTGCTTTTGATCCAGGAGAGATGATCTTTGTACCATATATGTGTGTCAGTAGATTTGCACCAGATTACAGATCTGATGCTCCTATGGGATGAGAAAAGAAGCCAGGCTTTCAGTATGCAGAAGGTCTTCCTGAAATGCTAAAATAGCCAATGATAAATGCCAGTGTTCCAGTAACCCATTTTTTTCTTCCATAGTTATTAAAAAAATTGCTTCAGTAAAAAACTTATTGAAGTTAATTCAGAAATACTAGTAAAAATGAACTTTCATATTCATTTCTAGTTCTATAAATGATTTAAGCTGTTTAGAAAGTAAAACACTCCTGCATGTTTTAATTTTTTCCTCTTTACACAGTTCATTCTGTTAGACTGCTACTGTAATGTTCTATAGTTCTATGAATGTTCTGTAATTCTATTGTAAAAAGAGTCTGGGTGTTTCTCATTATATGAGACTTTTATGTATCTAATTGTATAAAAAAGAGAGATTACGATCATTAATTTATCCTTTGAGAAGGTGGAAATAACATGACTGAAAAGTGCTTGTGTGTAAACTCTTGTTTTGGTTGGGCTGTCAGGCGGAAGGTGAATGGTGCTTAGTGCAGTTGATGGGTTTGAAGCAGTGATTACCGGGGACCAAAGAAAAATTATATCTTTTTTCCGTTATTAGTTTTTCTAGTATAAATAATGTAGATTTGACAACATATTAAAGGTAGTTTTAGATAACTGTATAGGAACTGATATTTTCATGAAGGTGTTTGAGATGTTGTTCACCAAGGTGATAAATAATTTTTACTTTTTCCAGTGATCCTTTGGATACCTCTTTGCCAATATCCAGTACAGTACAGGAGGCCACCTCCACAACCTCTGCCATCACCTCTTCAAGTCTGACCTGCTCACCCCAGAGCACTATCCCAGTAACAACTTCCTCCTATGACCAGACTTCTGTGCATAGTAGGATAGCATACCAAACCTCCATAGCTCTGTCTGAATCAACCCCTGTTACAGTTACGGTAAGTGAATTTCAGAAATAAGACCTTGAAACAGGTGAAATTTTCTTATCTATGTTAGATTTGTATTGCCCTGCTATGTTAATATTTTAACCAAGCCAAGTGGTATTTTTGATTCTCAAGTCCACTCTGTTATTTGGTTTTTTTCTTTTCCTATTGTGTAGCCATTTTTTGTATTTGGGATATAAGAGCCTCTGATTTTATGGGTCTTGACATCTTAAATTGCTGTTTGACATTTTTTCTTAATAACACTTAACGTTCTAGTTATTT